TGCGCCAGACAAAATTTTCTCTTAAAATATTATATATTTATTTTTTAATTTTTTTTTAAATGTGGTGGGCAGCCTACCCCACCAAGCCCGCAAGCCTAAGCGGGGCGGGCAAAAAATCCCGCTCCTTGGCGGGCTGCTATTTTCAAAACCCACCCCTACCTATGTAGGGGCGGGACGGAACGACCCGGTGTGCAAAGCCCGTTTTGACAGCTCTAGTTGCATCATCCTCTATCCGTCAACGACTTGGATAGAGGAGGCTACCCCTTCTCTGTCAGTTGGTAACCTGAAAATAGGAGACTGCCTGGATGGAGAAAGCTACCTCCTCCTCCGTCCATTGACAACCTAGACAGAGGAGGGTGCATCCTCTCCCGTCCTAGCAAGTTCTAAAAAAAATATTTTTAAAACAATTGATTGGTTATACTTGGCAGCAACTTATTATAAATACTAATTATACAAAGTTGTAAATTTGAATGTTTTGATTGCACGTTTTTTGTTCATTGGTCGAATTACACAAACCGTAAAAAAGTGATGGACTTCCTTTTATAAAATTAAGACATGCAAAGTCATGTCATCTTGCAACTACCATTTGCAGGAATAGACAAAGCCTTATAATTTATAGGCCAGTTCATTTTCTTTAGTTAAAATATTACTCCGTATATGCTAGCATTTTCGTCACCTACCAAGCTTTTACAAAAATCATAAACCTGTGAACTTCAAAAATCTTTTTTCAATCCCTAAATTATTTAATTATAAGGTTGGTAAAACCCAGGAAGTTATGATGGCCATTAATTATGAGTAAAATGTAAATAATTAACGTATGTTAGGAGCATTAATAAACTACTATGTGGAAAATATTTTAAAGATATAAATGCAAGAGTTGTGATGGCCGAGTTGGTCTTTTAAGGTGTTAAATTAAGGTTTTGGTCCGAAAGGGTGTGGGTTCAAATCCCACTCTCAACATTGTCTTTTCTTATTATTTTAAAAGGGCATTCCTAGTAGTGTAATTACCAGGACTATGTGGTTCAATGGTATCCGGGTTGGATTTTTATTTGGAAGATTGTAAGTTTGAGCCTCAGTGGAGGAAGTACATGAACAGATACTACAATGTAATAGAGCTAGTAACATTCAAAAAAATGAGTTGTTTAATTATTTTAATTTATGTATATAAACGAAAAAAAAAAGGGGGACATTACCGGCAGTGTAAATTAGTACGCTTAAAAATTATTTTAATTTATGTATTAAAACGAAAATAGAGCTAGTAGCATTCAAAAAAATGAGTTGTTTAATTATTTTAATTTATGTATATAAACGAAAAAAAAAAGGGGGACATTTCCGGCAGTGTAAATTAGTACGCTTAAAAATTATTTTAATTTATGTATTAAAACAAAAAAAAAAAATCAAGTAGAAATGAGAATAATAAGATAGTGCAATATAAAGTATGATTGGTAGCTCCCCAAGAGTTTCAATATTAATTTTTATCAAATATACTCCCCCATAATATATGGCAATATATATGTTTCTACTAATTAACAGTGCCGGCACTAAGGGTAGGTGAGATGGGCACCTGTCCTCGTTGCGAGGGGCCCCCTAGCGTGGTTTTTTTTTTTTTTTTTGATGAAGTTAAAAAAAAAAAAAAATGCTTGCATATACAAAGATTTGAATTTATGACTTCAAAATTATTTATTAATTTTAAATCCACTTAAGAATTACAATCATGTGATATACTTATCTCAATTAATAGATACATAAAGCTTATACATTTTAATACATACAGTTGTATAGTTTATAATATCATTTAAAATATGAATTGCTCATACAATTGTCAATCATAAACTAATCTTCTATAGTTTATAATATCATTTGCAGTGTTGAAAAAAAAAAAAAAAAAAAAAAAAAAAGGATAGAGGATTAAAACCACAATGTACTAATTACATGTGTCAACGTTTAGACACCACCATAGGCAACACGATTAGTAATTACATCTGTATTTAGAATCAAACTGTTAGTATTTCAAGAATATTTTCTCAGTTGCCAATATTAAATATCTAACTATACAACTGCTCTAAATCAAAGCTATCACATATGTCCTAAGTTAAATGTTCCAACAGATTTACAACTTATAGTACACTAACAAAATGAAGAAGCTCACAAGTTCTATTCCCATAGGATCCAAGAGAAAAAATGCTGACAAAAACAAAGGGAAGTAGAACATTCGTGTATTATTAAATAATCATATGTAGATATAAGTAGATTTAATGGTTTACAAATATAATATATGATGTTAGATGTTAAGTGTAATTTAAAGTGTATCTAAATCACGAAATTACATTTAAACATAGAAAAAAATTGGAATTCTAAAAGTATTAGAACGAACCAGTGGATACAGAAATGTCAGGATAATTGTGGTTTTTTAATCTAAATGTTTTGAAGCATTGCATGACTATTCAAAACCCCCTAGGTTTTGAGAAAATAATGTAAAATATTTTCATTTTTGAAATCGGTTTATGTAAATCACAAATACTTCCGGTAAGAAATTTTCGGCGAAAACTCAGAATGAAAAATATGAAAGGGTCATGTAAAATAAATCACACAGGTCACTCTACATTTTTTTTTTTTTTTGGTACATTTAAAGCCTCACAAGAGAGCTTTATTTAATCCTTAAGGATGGAGTGCTACGAGCATCAGCATCGAGCAAGCTATTAAGACCAACTGAGGCCATGTCTAAGATAAGCGTCCCCCAATCAATACCCCGAGTAAAGTTCGCGTGCCCATCAGCACATTTATCCCCTTTTCTAACGATGTGAGAAATTTTAAACCCACGAAAATTTCTGATGATATCCAGACAATCTTTAACCAAGGCCACAACAGTTTCTTCCCTGTAACCCCCCTATTCATGATGGCCACCACCGCCGCCGAGTCCATTTCTGCCCATACCCTGTCAAACCCTTCTCTCAGACAGAGCCATAGACCTCCCTTAGACTCCACATCTCAGTTGAGAAGCTATCTGTAAGCCCGATTTTCATTGCAAAATCCTTAACCCATTGCCCTCTTTCATCCCGACCCGAATAAGCCCCCCTGGCGCTTGCTATCCCAGAGGTGACTTTCATGGCTCCATTCGAGTTAAGCTTCATCCACCCTGTTTGAGGAGAAACCCAACTAGCCCAAAGTCGTTGGTCGTGCATAGGAAGTAGGAACGTTATGCTGTGCAACCATGTGCATCATGCAAGGTGCACACGGTTCCAATTCATAATTTCTATACTATAGATTCATAATTTCTATATTATAGATTCATAAAATCTATACTGTAGATTCATAATTTCTAAACCGTAGATTTATAATTTAAATACAGTAAATTCATAATTTCTATATTATAGATTCATAAAATCTATACTGTAGATTCATAATTTCTAAACCGTAGATTTATAATTTAAATACAGTAAATTCATAATTTCTATACAGTATATTCATAATTTCTATACTGCGAATTCATAATATCTGTACTGTACATTCATAATTTCTATACTGTAGATTCATAATTTCTAAACTGTATAGTTATCAAATTATGAACATGTAATTCTGTGATTTGTGAATACAGAATTCAACAATGGGAAATATGAACATAGTGTTCTGTAATTGTGAATATATAATTCAATAATTATGAATATGAAGTTCAAAAATTATGAATATATAGCTTTATAAGTATGAACATATAGTTCAACAATTATGAACATAAAATAATATGAACCATGCATGGTGCACAGCATAATTTGCCCGTACAGTACGCCATAGTGCTTGACAATGAGATTTTTCGCTTCATTCGCAAAGGAACGCGCCATATTTACGACATGCACTGGAGACTCGTTGCTTCTGTTGAAGATGAGACTATTTCTAGCCTTCCAGATCATCCATAGGACGTAAATGAAGGTGGCATTCCAGTCTGTACTACTATTAAAGAAAAATATAATACTTTTACATTTTCATTTAAAAGTATTACCATTTTCTTCAAAAACATTACACTTTCCTTATAAATAAGAAACACTTTATTCTTTATTAGTATTACATTTTTCAGTATAAGTATTACATTTCCATCTTAACCTTACCCATCTCATGGATACGATCTCACAAGAGAGTTACTCAAATTATAAAGTAAATGAGAAAATTAGGTAAATGTGCATAGTCAAGATACCAAATTAGGTATTAACTCTATTTATTATAATAGTTTCTTTTTGTGTAAAACCTAGAAAAAAAATAGAGTTAATTCCACTGAAGGTCCCTTGACTATGGTGGCAATTCCAGATTTAATCTCAGACTATCGTTTTTGCCATTTTACATTTCAAACTATCATTTTTTGAACATTTTTAGTAAGGGCATTTTTGATTAATCAAGCTAAGCTTTGAGCTTTGATTACTCGGACTCGACTCATTTACATCCCTACCATGACAATTGCTAAAAGGGTCTACCTTATGACCAGGCAAAACCAGAAAACTGAGTCAATAATCTGATCAAATGAACATTACCCAAACACAAACACCAACTATCCCTGCAGCTAAAACTGGAAAGAGATGATGATCCATGGAGGCAATTAACAAATCAAATTCATTCACAGCTAATATTTCCATCAATACATGAAGGGTTTAGTTTCAACTTACAAGTAACATAACCAAAACTGTTTTCTGGCCTTTTTCCTTCTTGTCCAGTGTTCATATTGTTGTTTTCTCTCTGGCATACATTGATGGCCTTCACTACCTAACAGCAAGGAAGCAATAATTCCACAGAAACCCGAAAAGATATATATATATATATATATATATATATATATATATATATATATATATATATATATATATATATATATTCCCAGACAACAAAATAAAGGCCATTCAACGACTTCCCATCTTGCTCCCTCCATCAACTCAGATTTCCCCGGGATAGGGCCAGAAGTTTTAACTTTCGACTCGGGTTTTAGTAACGTTCCTCCTTTCTCGGGCATCCAACTGTTCCCAGATTGCGTGTTGTTGTTCTATGATGTTGTTACAACCAAAGAATGTGCTTTAAGAAAATTGACAGGAGAGCCATTCACCGGTTTTGAAGAGCTTCAATCGCCTTTTTCCACTGCGATGCTCTTTGCTTAGCATCCTCGAACGATAGGACTTTCTTTGGCTGTATTATTGCATATAGATATATATAGATTCAATGGATAAGTTGAAATTATATATTGGGCAGCCGGGAAATTACTAAGGAACTTACTGTGCAAATCTTGAAGTTTGAAGGGCTAATGACTTGGACGTTGAGATCATTTGGATTGTCGGACCATATAATATTCCCTTTCACAACCAATTTCGACGGGTCTACGTAAATAAGCTTCGGTTTGTTTGTGAGGATAAGCTGTACTTTCTTGTTACTAAGCTTCTGTATTTTTTTTACCATGGAGATCATGAGAACCGACTCACCGGGCTCTAAAAACTGTTGCCTGTTACCGGATAAGAAAAAAAATGTTTTGATAAGCAAATTCGGGTACCCAATTTTAGGAAGAAAGCATAAAAACGTACCATTTTGAATCGAAAGAATCAATTGAGGCTAGCCTAGTGATGCTACCGGCAGCTTCAGAAGACGAGGCTCCGCCATTTCCATCGTTTGTTCTAGCTGAACCATCCCCCACATGTGAGGGATTCCACGATTCTTGGTCATCACCTCCGCTATTAGAAGAATGAGACTGAAAAATTAACACCCCACCCACGTTAGAAAGAAGCAAAATGTTAATTCATTTTATAAATACTAAAAAGATTCTCGAAGCAAGCAAAATATTCGGAAAGAGGACGGTATACTTTTGGCTCCATAGCTAGCCGTGGAGGAGTTCGAGACCTCAAATTTTCCCAGTCAACCCCTCTAAAGAAAGGATGTTTTTTAAGCGAAGCATAACCGTCAGGTCCTGCACCGGGTCTTCTGCTAGGATCAATATCCTGAGTTATTGTATCATGCAAATGAGAAGTTAGATACGTAAAAGATGATCACTGTATGCAAATGCTAGTTAATGCCAAATTGGAATCTTAAACAAAGAAACCCTAAAATAGGGCAATTATGCCACGAACCAGTGTTGTAAAAACCGGCCTAGTCGGCCGACTAGACGCCCGACTCGGCACCTAATTCAGCCGAGTCGGCGCCCAACTCGGCCGAGTGTTTTTTTAGGGTTTAGGGCGGCTACACATTATTATTATTATTTTACTCGGCCACCTAGGAGGTAGGCGCCCCCCGGCTGCTAACTAGCACCTAGCGCCTTCTGCAACCTTGCCACAAAAGGAGAAACCTCTTTAAATATGTCATAAATAAGCATTTTTTGTCTCTAAGACTAGGAAATGAAACAATTTAAGACGGTAGGAATGTGAATGGAATAAAAAGAGATTGAGGAAGAGGTAGTGAAGAGGAATCTATAGCTTACCAACAATTGATCGATAAGATCTCTGGCTTCATCAGAGAAGTAGTTTGGGAATCTAATATCTCTGGCAATAATTCTTTGAAAAATAAGCCATTCACTAGCATCTTTGAAGGGAGATGTCCCCGAGAGCATTTGATACACCGTGCAGCCAAGTGCCCAGAGGTCATTTCTAAAATAACGCATTAAAAGGGACGGTTACAAGGGGAAAATTTGGAGAAATAATAACAATTTGTACTCTAATGAAATGACCTCCTCCATACCCAAAAGTTGCGGGCGAGGAATTTAAAACTTCTGGAGGAACATAAGCAGCTGTCCCGACAAAGGTGCAAGCTTTATCATCTGGAAAAAAGTCGGCAAATTATTCAACAACAGAGATAAATCCAAACTGCCCTTTTTCAGAAAATTTGCATTCTCTCATAGCGTCAATGATTTACCTGACGCTGCATTTGGTAGGACTGTTATTCGACTATCTTGCATCGGCTTAACACTCCCAAAGTCGGCAATCTTGATGTGCCCGTCTGTAGTAAGCAGCAGATTCTCCGGCTGCCATTTATAAAACACTCAGCACCCTTCGTATGAGAGACTTAACCGTCATTGATATAGAAATATACCTTAATATCTCTATGTATCAATCCCATACTATGTATGTACTCAAGAGAATCCACAACTTCTGCAGTATAGAAACGAGCCTCATCTTCAGGCAGACGCCCTTTCTGCACCCACGAAATTCAAAACACAAGAGACAAACTTGAGAAACACGGGAAAATAATCTTCTAACTTCTTTTCACATAAATGGGAAAAAGAATGAGGGGGCAGTAGAGAGATACAAGAAGAAACTTTCGGTAGGTAAGGGCCATAAGTCAGGATATATTAAATATATATGTGCAACAAGTACATCTCTAAATATCAATTGTCTTTATACCCTCTTGCATAACCATAATGAAGAAATAGAATCCATGAAGCTTGCATAAATTAAATTGGGATTAAGGCTTAGTTGAATTGCGTTAACATTTTCACCACCTTTCGTGAACAGAAGAGTCTTAATTGAACGAATGATACAAACTTGTAACCACAAGGTCACGAGTTCGAATCCCAGCCTTCATGGTTTGAGCCAGACAGGCGGGACAGCTATGGGCAACCTAGGCTGGTTTACCTCCTTGTGGTCCTTTGCCGGCTAGGGTCACAAGGCGGGGTTTACCCAGTGCACACCCTCGGGTAGTGGCTGCGGGTTTCCCTCGTCACCAGAAGAGTCTTAATCGAACGTTAAAACAAAACATAGAAGAACCCCAGTTACATAATGAAGCCCATATGCTACCCATAAAATTCATAGTAACACCAAAAAATTAAATTGAAAAGATTGATGATTTGCTTTTATTAAATTAAAATAGCAAAGTTCTACTTACCCTAGTTATTTGATCAAAAAGTTCTCCACCTTCACAGGACTCAAGTGCCATATCTTCACAATTAAACAAAATGCATTTTAGATAGCCAGGTGCAGCAGAAAAGGCAGATTACGAAGAATTTGCAAAGTACTCACATAGTGAAAAGGTGTCTTGAAACGTAAAGTATAGTCGCACAATGCCGGGATGATCTAGCTGATCGAGTACAATGCGCTCTAATTTCACATAAGCAGTCTTACTCTCCTTGGTGATGAACTTTTTGTCCATGATTTTCAAGGCATAAACATTTCCGGTATCTTTCTTTCTTGCTCTAACAACCTGTTCATAATAATAGGTTAACAATAAGAATGAATCGGTGCTGTTTAAGCATATCCTATTCATGGAAAAATAGAAAGTATAGAACTTGAGGTTCTCTAATTCCCAGAAATGCACGAGAGTAATGGTAGGACACATTCCCAAGGATAAAGCAATTGCATCAAGCTTTGAAAAGAAGTAGAGCACCACTAGTCCCGCCATAGGATAGGGAGGGAAGGGGTAACTACAAGGTTAGCCTATTGCCCTTCTTGGTTTGAGCTGGTCAACTATGGACAACCTAGGCTAGTTTACCTCCTTGTAATCCTTTGCCAGCTAGGGTTACAAAGCCGTCAAAGCGGGATTTACCCAGTGCACACCCTCGGATAGTGGCTGCGGGCAATGTTGAAAAAATCGCTAGGCGCCCTCTAGGCGCCTGGGGACCACCTAGGGCGCCTAGGAGGCTGACCGCCTAGCGCCTAGAATCGGCGCCTAGGCGCGATTTTTGCAACACTGGCTGCGGGTTTACCTCGTTACCCAAAAAGAAACATTTCTAGCAAAAGCATTTCCCCAAGTAATACAAGGACAATAACAGACGATCACATTACTGGCTCCATCATAGCCACATATATAAACTGTAAGGCAACATCACATTGGCGAACTATATAAACAATATCGGCAGAATTTGTGTTATCAACTCCCTGCTTTTAGACTGCTAAAGCTAAAGGCCTTCTTCCAAAGCTGTTCAATTGAAACTTGTTGTCAGAGGGTATCTGCACTGACCTCAATATGCCAATCTATCATCTTATCTCACCTACATCTGAGATTTAAATTAGGCTTTTGGGAACCTTAAAATTATTCAGATAATTATAGCGTCTCTAAATGCACTAATGATCATGACATCCATCAGAAAAAGGACATTTCTTTCTTCCTAAATGCACTTAAGATTGATTTACCACATCTGAACAAGTACTTGGGCACCATCAATATGGTTACCAAAAAAAAAAAAGGATCAAATCAAGAGGAAAACAAAAGAAACCATGTTGTTACATTTACTCCTTTTTTTTTCACATTGTAATAATGCCCTTCAGTAAAATCCAAAAATTCACATACAGGTAAAAGCTATTACAATATGAAAATTCTTGTTTGAAAGCTCAGATATAAACACAGATTTATGTTTCCAAACACCTAAATAGAAAGCTCATGAGTCCTATACACAATTCCTTTTCTCAAATGCTTTCCCAAGCATAGCCTCAACAGTCCACACATTCTCCAAAATCCACTTCACTTCCCCCCTTTCCCCACAACCATTCCAGAAAAATGCAATACAAAGAAGGATAGATAAAAAACACAGTTCTCAATGTAGAATTACTCACTCCAGTAAGATGGAAAAAAAAATCAAGATGTAAAAAATCAAGAATTACAGAATTCAAAAGAATGGTTTTAGAGAAAAAATAAAATGAAGAAAAAAAAAACTGACCTTGGAATATGAACCAACTCCATAGATCTTGCCCAATTCAAAGTCTTGGATGGTAAAGTTTTCCTGGGGAGCTCTGAATGCAAAGCTTTTGGATCTCTGAGAATTGGTGGATGAACTGTTCTGCAGCTTAACCTTTGAATCAAATTCCTTCTCCATGTTAGATCCCTCTTCCCCTACCAATTGCAACATCTCACCACCCCCCTCCAGCGACACAGCCCAATGTGTATATTTCTTCTCTCTCTCTCTCTCCCCCTCTCTAAAGTTTCAGGAAGCTTTCTCTCTCTAAAATTCTTGAAAAGAGAGTTGGGTCTTCACAGCCTCCGATGAAAGGGGAAGTAAGACCGTTGAATAACAATAGAACCACAGAAATGAGAAATCCCTCCACACATCAGATCATATTCTCTTTACATTATACATATATGGTCATATGTATATATGTCCCTCTCTCTCTCTCTTTCTCTCTCTATATATCACTCTTTTTCTTTGAGAAACCAATCTGATAAAGCAAAACCCATATGTCAAAGACACCCAAAAGCAAATGATTCCCTAGATATGTAGATATATGTATATGAGAAAAAAAAAATATGTATGCTTATCTGAAAAAGGTGCGAGCTTTATGATTAATATGATTATTTCTTTTTCTCAAAACCCTAGAAAGCAAGCCGGGGGATAAATTCAGAACAAGGGGAATGAATGGCTAAGGGCGATAGATGCAATGCTTGTGTGTATATGTGTATGTATATATTTTACTTGTATATATGCATATAGGGATTGAAGAGCACATGAGAAAGAATGATGATGGGTGGCATCATATCCACCATTCTTGAAACCCAAATTTTATATATTTATGAAATTCTCGCTTTCTTTCTGATAAAATTTTTTGTTTGAAATTTAAGTGTATTTGTTGTGTTGTTTGCAAGCCCTGAAATGGAGGGAGAGTGGGAGGGCGAAGGTTCCTAGAGTTGGGGAACCATCCAAAAATGGCATTAGTTAATAGTTTACCACTGTGTGGGTAGTGGGTGCTGCCATGGCATATTGGCATGGGCATTTTTCTTTTGCCTATCTATCTATTTTCATCAATAAGGACTAGGGTGTTCTACACGGAACGTTATGTGTGAGCACGTGCCCACCTTGCAAGGTGAATACAGTTTTATATCCATAATTTTTATACTGTAAATTCATAATTTCTATATTGTAGATTCATAAAATTTATGCTTTAGATTCATAATTTCTAAACAGTAAATTCATAATTTCTATACTGTAAATTCATAATATCTGTCCTGTAGATTCATAATTTATGTACTGTAAATTCATAATTTCTAAACTGTATAGTTATCAATTATGAACATATAGTTCTCTGATTTGTGAAAACAGAGTTTAACAATTGGAATGTAAAGTATAAATTTTATGAATCTATAGTATAAAAATTATGGATCTATAGTATATAAATTATGATATGAAACCGTGCCCACGGCATAATTTGCGTTCTACACAACTATGTGAATTATACTATTAAATCATGTACATTCGACACAAAAATAATGTACTTTTAGTATATTAAAAATGTACATTATATTTAGAAAATGTACATTATTAGAGTACTGAAAGTACATTATTTTGTATAATGTACATTATGTGTACTGAATGTACACATAACACTGTGTGGACCATGCCACCATGGTGTACACAATAATTTGCCTGGAAGCTGTATCCCCCGTAATTTGATGAATTGTTGCAAATTGATTTACTCCATTGGATTTGTTCGATCTTTGATGCATAGCTAAGTAGTTGTAAGGTTGGGCGTGTGATTCGCCATTATGTGTTAGGATTTATAATTCCTAGGGATCTAGGATTCGGAAATTGCCCATTTGCTCTCGTTATGTTTGGTTTTGTACCCCCATAATTTGCCTGCAAGCTGTATCCCCATAATTTGTACCCCCATAATTTGCCTGCAACCTGTCCCCAATATTCTCAGCAACGTGGTTCACAACGTTCTCCGTTAAGACACAATAACTTGCCTGCAAGCTGTATCCCCGTAATTTCAATTCGACAAAAACACATATCTTGACTTTCATTTTTAACCACAAATAGTTCTCCATTAAGATCTCTGTTAAATAAGTGTTAAATCTAAGGGTATTGTCGTCAAATTAAAGCCTATGACTCTAAGTAAGAGTTAATTCCACCGTAAGTCCCTTGTCTTTGATGACGATTTCAAATTTAGTCCTAGACTATTGCTTTTGTCATTTAACATCTCAGACTTTCATTTTTTTAGACACTTTTGGTCATTTCGATAATTTTTCTGGTGAGACCATATTTTTAACAAGGGTATTTTTGTCTCTTCATGTTTTTTTTTGCCTATTGAATGTTCTGCGTCGAATGTTGTCAGCTACGACACAAATCCTCATCCTCATCATCATACGCCAGAGATCAACAGCTCTCCGGCTTCTGGTCACGTCTCCTGGCCAAACTCGAATATGATAGCACCCGAACCTACGACGAGTCAAGAGGGTTCCCTTTTCGCTACTAGTAGCATATCAGAGTACTTGACTCAGACGTTTCGAGGATTTTCTTGACCCTTTGTCTTCTATGTATGATTTCTGTACGTAAAAGCCTTTTCAATAGTATGTGCAATTCTGCAATTAATTACAGTGTGGGTATAAAATTGGGAAGTTCACTTCAATCAAAACTAGACAATTAGTTTTGTCATGCCAAGACCCAGAATATTGAAGAAAGTTTAACCAGTTGAGTATTATCATTGTTTTTCTTGTTGGTGGTTGTGGCATGCATGATGTGTATGCATGCATTTCAATGTGAATGTGTGTACAATGTAATTTTAGAGTGTGCACAATGTATTTGTATAAGTGTGGCATGTGTGCACCATAATATATATATATATATATATATATATATATATATATATATATATGTGTGTGTGTGTGTGTGTGTGTGTGTGTGTGTGTGTGTGTGTGTGTGTGTGTGTGTGTGTGTGTGTGTGTGTGTGTGTGTGTGTGTGTGTGTGTGTGTGCACGACATTTGTTTGTTGTGTGGTTTGCGTCTAATGATGTGTTTGTGCACTAGGCAAGTATGTGAATCAAATGAGTTTTTTTATCCTTGTTTTCCTTGCTAGCAGTGGTAGTGCATGATGTGTATGTGTGCATTTTAATATGAACACGTGCACAATAATCCAATATTAGAATGTACATAGTGCAATGTATAAGTTTGGCATGTGTGTACTATAGTACATATGCGTGTGCATTTGTTTGTGGTGCGGTTTGCATCTAATTATGTATTTGTGCACTTGGCAATTAGGCATGTATGTGAATCAACTAGAGTTTGCTATCATTGTTTTCCTTGCTAGTGGTAGTGGTGCATGATGTATATATGTATATTTCAATATGAACGTGCTCGTAGTGCAATATTAGAGCGTGCATAGTGCAATGTATAAGTTTTCACAATGCAATATAGAAATGTTTACATCATTATGACGACATTCTACGATGTACATAATGTTGTGCATGAGTGCGCGCAGTTGCCTAGAAGATAGCACAACACCCCATTCTACTGTTATCTGCTCAATGTGTTTGCCTTACTAAATTAAAACACCGAAAATTAACAAAACAATTATATTTTCTTATATTTAAGTAATTTAACAGTGTTGCAAAAATCGTGCCTATGTGCTAGGTGCTAGGTGCTAGGTGCTAGGTGCCAACTGGCTACCTAGATTATCACCGTAACCGGTGGTCTAAGCGGCCAACTAGCTATTGTTCCGTTTTTTTTAAAGGTTATTTCACTCAAAACGACATCATTTTGAGCGAAATAACTCTAAATCGTTCAAACCCTAATTTTTTAGGTTAATATTTAATATTTTAATATTAACTATTAAAGTATTAAAGTTTATAATTTATAATTATCAAGCCTTAATAAATAAAAATATAATTTTTTTTAAAACAAATAAAAAAACACATCCACCTAGGCGCCCCCGGAGCACCTAATGATTTTTTTAAACCATGATCACAGCGGCAGTTTTGTGGCGGCGAGGAGTAGCCATGTTGTGGGCATTCAAGATCCTTTCCTAGCAGAGGCGATCGCGGCAAAAGAGGCCCTAACTTGGCTGAAAGGCCTACAGTACTCGGGCATTATTATTGAATCCGATTGTTTAAACTTTTGTAATGCATTCAATTATAGTTTTTCAGATTATTCGTATGTAGGGTTACTTGTTAAGCAATGTTTATCTATTGCTAATGACATTGGTAATGTGAGTGTTCGCCATGTCAAGAGATTAGCGAACCGAGTGGCTCACGAATTAGCACGGGCAACTGGTTCTTTGGCTGTCTCAGGAGAGTGGGTTGTTATCCTGCCAACATGTATTTCGGGTTTCTTAAGCTATTAATGAAGTCTGTTTCGTTTGTTTCAAAAAAAAAAAAAAAAACAACAATAATTTATAATTTAAATGAAAAAGTTTAATAATATAGAAACTCATATTTTATCGTTGTCTTACCTATTTCAAATAGAAGTTTGGAATTTTACTTAGATAGATTTGCCCCTTAATTGATATTTATGAAAGAGATGGATAGCAGATATATTAGGTGCATGGATTTAGATTATTGACTTTTAATCATAACCGTTGATCACATATTTTTCCATGGCTATAAGTTGTCAACGGTTTTTATGTGGGATAAGATTTTCATGTGAGCATGACCTTAAATTTTTGACATAAGAACATCTCCAAGAGATGGACAAAACACCAAATTGCATCACCAAATCACCATCCCACCATTTTATCTTGCTCCAACCCATGGGTAAAACACCTACAAACGCCAAATAAAATTTCGCAAGTGAACAACGACACACCATATTATTCACTTGTGGCAAATGTGAGATGAGAAGAAAAATTTACTTTTTTGCCCTTGCTTATTTATATAATTCTAATTGTATCCTCTATTTGTTTTATATGTATTTTTTATTTGGCTAAATACTTAACTTAAAAATTTGTATTATTACAAAAATAAATCATACCATTTTTAAAATTCCATTGAGACGATTGAAATAAGACCAATATTAAATATATATTAATTAAAAATTAAAATACAACAAACATACATACAACCTACTAAGAATTAAACTACATACAATATAATATTTATATTAGCAAATACAACACAATTTCAAAAAATTAAATATATCTTCAAGAACATAAAATTAATTATGTCCTAGTCCATCCTTATTTCCTATGAAATTATCAAAATAATTGTCAAATTCACGAATTGATTCAGCTCCTCCTCCTCATCCTCCATGTTCTTGATCTCTCTTTTCAATAATTTGTAGTTATTATTTACATCACAAATTATATTTTATATTGAATTTAATTATTCAAACTAAAAAAAAATTAATTTTGAGAAACCAAATTATTTTAATATAGAATAACATTTAGTGTAATGAATTAGAGATGAATAACATTTGGTGTGAGAATATTCCTTTCGATGCGTCATTTAGTGGAGATTTTTGGTTTTTTGATATAAAATGGGTTGGAGATTGCCTAACAATAATATTTTACTACTTTTGTATATGAATTAGACAAATATTTTAATTTTTTAAAAAAATATAATGAATACTTGAAATATAAGTTTTGTTAAGATCTTCCATTGATTGACTCAAAAAGAAAAAGAAAAGAATGCTTTACTCTTCCGGAGTTCCGGTCAACAAAGTTGCTGAATACGGCGGCAGGTTGTGCTGTGCAAAATTGCGTGGCACTATTGCACTCCCCTCTTTTACTTTTCTATTTATTTAATACTAGTATGATACTCGTGTGATGCAAGGCCTATAAATTTATAGTAATTAATGTTAATTTTTTGTAGTAGTTATAAATTATGTATATTGTAAATAATGAAATTGACAATTACATACGTTCATATGGAAGTAATTATTATATAAATAAATATCATGCCTTTTAATAGACTATTTTTATATATGGTAATTAATTTCATAATT